TACCTGCATGTTTAATACAGGGCATTCAATATTGTCATTGAAAGGGAACAGATGGAAAGATCTCAATCATAAAGATTAACATAGGACTTCCTGTAAGTTGCCTTCGTAGGAGTCAGGCATTTTCAAGGTCAACTTGGCAATAGTGTGCTCATTTGGTGAAATTTGTGGTCAGGAAAACAGCACTCTAGAGGAAGGAAATAGGCCAGTTTCTTCTTTCCATGCAGAACAGAAGAAGCCCACAAGTCATCAGCGGCATAGGTCCCTTTGATGTATGTTTAGGCATAAACAGTCGCACTTGGATATACAAGCAGCATATAAAACATATTTCTGGCAGCAGCAAACACAGTGTCCTACAGAAATTACATGTACATCAAAGAGTTTGAGAAAGAGATCTTTGTGGTGATGAGAACAGATCCCATATGATAACCAGTAACAATCACTTCATGATGCACATGATGAAGCTAAAGCAAAAAAAGTGTGCCACACACAGTGAAATTGGATATTCCACAAAACAGTCACCCCAAATCCAAGCCAATTTATACTAGAAGCTTCATTTTGTTACTGGCATACTACTGACTACGTTACACTGCACGACTTTATAGTGATTTCTCCAGTGTGTTTTAATGTAGGTTAACTACTTATAAATAGCAAAGCAACTGCAGAAGTAAAGCTCAGTGGGTTCAAGATTTCTTAGGGAAATTTCACTGTCCTGGAAACAGTGCTCAAGAATTTTTTTAATTCAGGCTCTACTCAAGCAGAAACATTTACCAAACCATCTGTTAATCAACCAGAACAGTAAATGCAATAACATTTGCTGAGCGCAACAGCAGCCGAGACCAGCAACCCCTGCTTCCATTCCCCGAGGAAATTCATGGTTTCTATAGATTGTGTCTACACAGTTCTCACTTTATAAAAGGTATTTTCTTTCTTTTGCTTCTTCTTGGTGCATGGAATTACCTTGCCACTCATTCTAGGCTTTCAGAGGCTGCTCAAACTCAGGATGTACCATGACTCCTGTTATCACACCCATTTATTCCTCCCTTCACCAAAAGGAAATTAACACCTTCATTGAGTCCATTTTTTGAGAAAATCTAGATACACTGGAGGAGTTGCAAGTAGGTTCTATGGGGCACACTACTATGGTAAACAATAAAATGTAAAGAAAAGTATGTAAATAAAAAACCATCCACCAAGACCTAGTTGATTTGGAATATTAGAGAGATCAGATTTTCTGTTTCTTGTCCAGAAATTAGCTTGCAATCATTACTAATTTGGTATTGGTCAACCAGCAATATTACCTACAACTGTTTAATATAAGATCAAAGGTCCGAACAAGGACCTGGGAAGTCAGTGTCCTGATACTTTGTGCATAAGCATTTGGTATTCTCTATCTGGAAATGGTGTAGAAATTGTTTTGTCCAAGAAATTTTGTCTAAGACTTTTGTTATTACTATTCTTATTTCCTTCTATTGGCATGTTGCTAATAAATTATCCTTTGGTCTATTTTTTTCTTGAATAACCTCAAGAAATCTCTTAAATCACACAAACACACATTCTAAGAGGAATCTTAACATCCTCAGCCTAAAACATCCTTATACATCCTTAGCCTAATTCTTTTGAGAAAATGGTTCTCATAGCCATTTCAGTTTCTTGCCTACCCAAAGTTCTAGAGAGTCTTCCATTTATGCAAAATCATAACAATTTCAGTATTGACTCCCACTCAGCACCCACAACATCCAGCTATGGTGATGTAACGTTTTGAAACAAGCACTGCTGGTTCACAGAGGGGATGCAAACCCCAATGTCACTGGTTGTTCCTGTCTCCTGAATCTAGAATAGCTGCCCCCAATTGGAGCTTCTCACAAAAACTCGAAAATTCTCACTGGAAGATGAAATTGAAGCCTTTTAACCTAAAGATATCTATCTTCTGGCTCCACAACACAAAAAAACTGCATATTTTTTACCACTTCTTTTAAATTCTGTATACATATGTACCCACAGACAAGTAAGCAAAATTTCAAGGCAACCCTAATTTAAAAAAAAGTAAAAAATAATAAGCACATGAGCTACAAAAACCTTTTTAATCTACTACACTGACAGATTTTAAATAGTGTGCAAGTTTTTAGAGGTACTTTAGGGAACCTGAAGCACAGATGGCAGAGCTGTCTGCAGAGATGTATTTTGTTTTCATAATAAGATTCAAGATTTCAGATTTTTTTTTTTTGCAACATTGCCAAAAATGAATTGAGTGGCAAAAGCCAAACTTTCCCATTCAAAAGGCACCTGTTGACTGTTGAAACAAGGGGCCTGAGAGTCAGAAGGCAATTTATCATCCCAGAGTTTCCTGAAACAGGTGGAAGACAACCTGAATAGTATCTGTCATCATTCCAGCCTAACTCTCTAACTACTGTTCACAAAAGGAAGCACTTTGGAAGGTAAGGGCATTAACCAGCCATTTTGTGTAAGACAAAAAAATCTCTCTAGTTCTATCTCTTTCAAAGTTCTGTAGCAGAGAATAAAGGAAGTCATTACGAAAAAAAAAGAATGTATAGAACAGTATACTTATGCATTTACATAATTCTCACCTTTCAGTTTGAAAAAATCTTAAAAACCTCAAATATTTTCAAGTTCTACAGAAAGGTCTACTGATAAACCTTTTGATCTGCACAAGTTCAAGGACTAAATTTATTGCTGCTTAGAGGAAAAATACTAACAAGTTCCAAAGAAAGGGACAACAACCTGTTTCAGATTTCCTAGCACTCTTGATTAGTACCCAAGCAGGAATACTGAATTCTTTTCAGCAGGACATGGTACAGATTTTCCAAGGTATGGATCAGAATTCCCACCTATAAATATCAAATTAATGAGACTAATTTTTTGTCACAATTACATCATTACAACTCTGCTGTAACTACAATGCAAGCACAGCTAGATACAATAATTTTTGTTTATCCCTAGTTAGTCTCACTTATGGAAAAGAGCGACTACAGCTTATTTTTAAATCCTATGGTTCTTAGCTCTGCTGTGAACTACTCAGCCACAGGCAAGATCTGGCTTCATAACTACTGCATTTCCTGACACCTGCTCCCCACATCTCCAGCTAGCACTAGTCACCTCTGAAGAAGTCTACCAAAGTCAAAACAAGAAGTTATCTGTCATATTGGGCTTCATGATCTCAACAGACAGAAGAATCTCTGACTTTGGATTTTATTGGATTCTTTCAGATGGATGATAAACCAATAAAATCTGAATGTCTCTATAGTCTGTGGCTTATCTTCTCAGAACCCCACTACTTTCATTAGATCTTTATCAGCTAGAAGTGAAACAAGGTCTGAGAGACTCCTCCATGACAGTTCTGCAAAATCTCAGCAACTTAGTGCGTGTCAATTCACTAAGTGACAGTAAGTACTTATTCCATGCTCCCAAATAAAAGCTTCATGATTTGACTTGTTGATGTATTTTCTGTTCCTATGAACAAAAACTGTCATTCTTTGTCTTTCCCAGCCAGCTTCAGTTTGGACATTTTAAAAGATAATGTGTTAATGGAATTTATTGGCCAAAGTCCAATAAATCTTAGTAAAATACAATTGCCCATTTTTCATAAATATTTTCCAAGGAAATAAGTGATAAACAGAAAATAAGTGATAAACTGAGTAGTAAATGTAGCTGAGTGATCTGCCTGAAAAATGCTTATGCTTGCAGCAATGACAGAATGTTTACTTGTTATGAGAAACATTACTGGAGATAATACTGAATGCAGTTTTTATCAGTTACTCTATATGAGAAATAACTTTCCAGTATTTTTAACTTTTTATTTTACTCTTCAATTATTCTCATGTCTCCAAGTACCGTTAAAATAATATCACTTGCAAAGCTAGCCAAAAAGTGGCTCTTGGCTCCAAAGAACTCTGAAGAATTTATAAGCTGTTTTTCCTCCTATCCTTGGAGCTACTCTCAGTAGAAGTCAAATCCATAAATCTGCAACTCAACGCTAGGAATGACAAGTTAATCTTATCAGTGTTGTCAAGGTCTAACCCAATGACCTCAGGCATAGGACATGTGACAGATGGTGAACCACAATAGCTAATTCTATTTCAATTTCAATGAAAACCCTTTTAGATTATTTTATCTTACCTGTTGTTACACTGAGATATAGTTCCAAAGACATAGTGAGAAATTTCAGTCCAGACTAAAATTCAAGTCCCTACAAAGCCCCTGGTAAGCATCAAAGTTCAACCAAGTAGGTGGTAGGCAAGTCTTCAGAGATGCAGGGGTTTGTTTCAGATAATCAGTATTCAAAAGCTGAGATGCCAAAGTAATCTTCAAATGCATTCTCTAAATATCTCAGTTCCAATATCTTTTTGGAAATTTCTTCTACTGAGGCTAAGGACTATCTAGGAGCCATATTTCAGGCAATATATCAGTCCCTCTGCTTCTGAACAGAAACAGGAGAGAGCATAGTTAAATTCATTAAGAGAGTCAAAGAAAAAACTTCCAAATACTTGCAAACCTTGCTGAATGTTCAAGACACTTCAATCCAATTGGCCAGTCTTGAGTAAAATGATTCATATCATTCTACCCAAAACAAAGAAGGCAAATAGGTTCTCAGTAGCATTATGAGGATGGATGTTTGGTCTCTTGCACATGCTCTCAGACATACGTCTCCATATTTCATGTCAAGTATGAGAAAAACCTCAAATCAACCACTGTAGAAGTAAAACAATACTTCCTTCTTTCCATGGTGCTGTCTGGAAGAGACTCTAAAATGAGTTTCAAGTTTATGATGTGAAATCCTGGACCTGCTCAAATTAAAGGTCTATCTTCTGCTGACTCTAACAGAGCCAACACTTTATCTATGAAGAGCTGAGAAAGAGCTGAAGAACCTGAGAGGAGGAAGGAGCCAGGCTCTCAGCCTACCTAGCAGGTGTCTACCACATGTCCTAACTGTTTCTGCGGTTCTTTGCTGCTGATTGAAATAAATGTGGCAGCGGCCTTCTTACCTCTAATGAGGGTTAATTAATATCCTTCTTGGAAAATGCTAGCTCTGTCAAGAATCATGGTCCCGATCCTCATGAGAAGATATGGCTTGTCTGATCATACAGCAGGGCAGAATCCTTCCATAGCAGCTGCATTACATGAAAGAAAAAATGCAATTACTTGGTAATCATGTCTTGCTGCATATACAACAACTACAGCTCTGGATGGCTGTGACTAAAAATACTGTTAAAGCCAAGTACAGAGACTGTCTTGTTGTTCTGTCTATTGCAAAGTGAATCTTCTTCTCCAATGCCTCCCTAGATCCCGTTAATGTTTCAGCAGACACAATCTAGTTCTGAGTTATTTCAGTGAAAACTGTAATTGAATTTGAAAGCACAGTACTTTCTTATCTTTGAATAACAGAATCAGAGAATGGTTTGGGTTGAAAGTACCTTTACAGATCATCTAGCCAACTCCCCTGCCATGGGCATAATCATGGATACAGTCTTTCCATTTTCCATTTTATTTGTTTTTTTAAATATATTACTGTATATACATTTGAAAGTAAACAACTGTAAATTCAATTGCAAATTCTAAGGGTAAGGGCATAAACTTAAGACACTAATCACAATGGACAAATGAAATGTTTCAGAAGAGTATGTCACTTGCCCAGAACATTTTCAGAATTATTTAGGAAAACAGAGAAAAGTTTCATTTATTTTCATGTCTTGATACATGATTGTGTAACTGTATCTGGTTTGTAGACTGTTATTTATAAAAGTTTAAATAGGTATAATTAACTTAGATGTATTACAGAATACACCTAACAGAGAGAGCAATAGACTTAAAACATATCTGTTTATCCTATTCCAGTCACAATGACTTAATAAGAAAATTTTGAAGTATGTTGAAATCCCCCAGGGTTCTCAGTTCATTGACCTTAGCATTGTAACTTGCCTAGAGTGCATTTGTATATCCAGGAGAGATATCCCTGAGGATAGAAGACTATTTCTTCCCACCAGAGAACATCTGTGCCTATGCTAGATTTAAACTGTAGGAATTAATTTTGGTATTTCCAGTATGAGCAAGCAATTGCCATCTAAATAATTGTTTCCTCTTACCACAGCTTTTCATATCTAACGATGTGAGGGAAAAAACATAAATGTAGTATTTGCATATGTCAATTCTTTATGGAAATTGGCACTTGGACAGTTTAAATATGGCTATTTCAGTGCAAAATTGTATCTCATTTACAATTTAAAAAAAAGTCATGAAAAGAGCAATGATTTTTAAAAGGAGGAGGGAAATAGAAAGGTGAGATGGTGATGGATTCATTTCCTCTGAGCTACGCGCTCAGGAAAACAGGAGCAATAAGTTCAGCAGAAACAGTGGTATGTAGAACAAAACTGAAAAAAAAGTGTTTCAAAAAAAGACTTGGTGTGTTCATCTGTCCTGCCAGAAAGTTCTTGTATGACCCAGAGATCAATGTGTGTTAAGAGCCGCTTTCTGGGCTAGGTTGCTGAGGTGTTACGTTTAGCCAGTGCCAAGCTAAACTTCTGAAGTTATTCTGCAACCTAATGACAAAAGGTATCATTGCACATAATTTAGCAATTTTTTTACATACAAAAGGAACTAAAATTCAGTTGTGAATAAACAGCTCTTTATCAGACATCTGTTTGATGAAAAAGCCATGATATGGGCAGCCAGAATCTTCCAAATTCAAGTGCATGAGCTGTTCTACCTACATCTTATTCGTTCACAATATCATACTATGTGGGGTGTGACAGACTGCATATCTGTGTCCTATTGCAATGCTAAGGAGTCACCAAAAATCATTTTTGTTTAATACTAGGCAATAAGTTTAGTATCAGATTTGGAAAAATAATCTTATCCCTAAATTTAGCCCATCTCTTTCTCTGCTTTTCTGCAACACTTCAGCTTCTCCAGTTGAGCCAAGCCATCTCTAGTTCTGAATGAGTAGATAAGCAGCTGTCACATTTCCTTCTGCCATTCACAAGAAACAGGTGCATCCAGAACTGAAGCAGAATCTAAGTGCCAGATTTTATCTTCCCTTTGGGTACATATTTATTGTAGTAAAAGTGCCACACACTGCTACTGACTGTGTTTATTACAGAAAAGTCTTGACACATCAAGAGGAGCCCTTCCTTGGGCTAAGCCAAACTTCCCATTTGCTACATGTGAGTCAGAATTTTATCAACCCTACCTTTATTGTGATCCCTTGATGCTTCACTATTAACAGGAGTTAACAAGTAATGGAAAACTGTTATGACCATTAAAGTATGCAGAGGAATAGTAGCCAACTCATGCTTATGCATATGCCAGAAACCAGAATACACATTTTTTCCAGTTCACAAACACTTGAGAAAGGAATTTTGGCCCTGGCATTTTTGGGAGAAGTCAAATGCCTGAAGGACACTTAGTCCCAGCAATGGTGAAGGTTTTTTCTTGGTTTCAGAAGGCAAACCAGGCAAAGATATTGAAAGATACAATTTTAAAAGCAAAAAAAAAAAAATCAACACATTTTATTATTGTTTTGAAAAACACACACCTTTCATGTTACTTATTTTCAACCTAATACTGAAGCTATTTTTCTAAACTTGCCCAGGAAAACTTATTGAAGTCAGAAGTTTTGCTCAGTGAGGACTGCAGGATTTGTTTCTAAGAGCCATTAAAATAATGTGTTTATTACTGAAGCAGTAGCAAAATAAGCAGTCACTATGAATCATCCAAAATAAGTTTCCTTTAAAGACTAGAAATTCAGGCAGATAATTCCATCAGATCTTTGTGGACTTGGACAGAGTGGTCTTTGGTAGACATTTGGATAACCTACAAGAAGCATATGGAAATCTTAGGAAAAGAAGAGGCAAAGAATGAAGTTCTCGTTTGAGGTAAGACCAGTGCTTGAGGTTGAGGTAAGACCAGGGGATATTAAGGACAGTGGGAAGTTTCTGCCAGGATGCAGGCAGAGTGGATTTCTGGAAAGAAACATGTTTTCACCAAAATAAAAGGGAAAAAATAAACAAGATGGAAAAAGAAGCCAACACTTTCCACTGAAAGAAAGAAAAATTATTAAAGGGAAAGAACAGGTAAAAGAGGAGCTGCTTTGCAGACTTGTCACTTCCTATTGCCCTTTTTTTTGATGGACTCAAAATCATGGATTTACTTTTTACTTCTGTACTTAAAGGTCATCCTAATTTGCTCTTCTTTATTCATGTGCTTGCTTGTAAATTATGCTTGCTTTCATGTTTTCATTGTCTTTCCTCCCATTAAAAAAGCATGTATGGTATGGATTTCATATAGAAGAGTTCTTAAAATATTTCTTTTACTTTACAGCTCTCTCAAGACACTATGGATAAAGGTGAGTGTTAGAAGAAAACCATATTCTAGCAAATAGTCTACTTTGTCTGATATCTAGTGTCTGATATCTGGAGTTTAAAGATGCATTTGAGGAAAGCACTGAAACTCCAATTCTTTGACAACATACCCAGGGGAAAATGCATTTTCTAATATTTGTTTATTTACCAAAGTTGTTCTTTCCTCTGATTGATTCCTTACCCTAGTATGTGTTAACTTTTCCTCTTTATTTGCTGAGTATCTGATTTATGACTGGGGCTGCTAGACTTCATCACTGTACAGTACAGATAGTCTGGCAATAATTTGCTTTGTTTCTTGTGTCTCCTACATCCCTTGTTTAAGAAAGCATCAAAATTCTGGCTCACATATGTTCTATTGTAAACAGGCAAAGTTCAAAAACAAATTTATAAATACAAAAACACTGGAAAAAAAGTAACTTATAGAAGTCAAATCAGCTACCAAAATTTAAAAAGCAAATACACAAGGTATGCTTGTTTTCATAGACTCGGCACTTGAGAATTGTAGAATCATGGAATATTCTGAGTTGGAAGGGACCCACAACAATCATCAGGTCCAACCCTTGAAACTCTCATGTTATTTTAAAAATATTATTAAAAGCACCACAGGTTTCTTCCATAACCTCACATGTGATCTCTAAGAGCAATTACATTTCAAATTATAAATTCAGCAAAAGTGTCTGCACTATATTTTCATGAAGAAATATACATCCAGTTTCATATGCAAAGTCTATCAACTTGTTTTCAATCACTGACATGCAAATGAGAGATCTGACAAATTCCCAGGAGATTTAATCTGGGCAAGTACTTCTAGAGCTGAGAAAAGCACAGAAGCCAGAACACTGAACTCAAAGCCTCTCTGCTCAAGGATCCATCTGCCCTTTAAGTAGTACATATAAGGGTGCCTGCTCATTGAAGCAACCCTGAGATAGAAGGTATATCAAAATATGGAATATTAGATTTCAAAATCTCTTGGAACTTGTGGTAGTGTGTTGCTAAGTTTCTTGTGTTATTCCCCCAATTTATGTATTGTTCTCCCCTATTA